TAGAGATTCTGTACGAGAAATACTGCGGTAAATTGAAAAATACACTTATCAATCGTATTACAGTATTAGTTTTGGTCCTGGATCGGAAACCACTTGATTATTAAATAAAAGGTATTCATGTTTATGTTGGTTTAGGTTATTAATATTTTTTGTGAATAACAAGAAATCCAGTTTGCTAAATTAATATAAGAAAATTTATGTATAGGCTAAAACTTAACCATCTTTAATGGACGAGCCTAATGTTACCAACCTTTCGCTGTAAAACTCATTATTATATTAAGGCTACGTTTTCGCTACTAAATTGGGTTTGTAATAAAATTTTGAAATACGCAGAAGGTTACTTTTGATTCTTAGTTTAATTGGCCAACGAAATTTTAGGTACGTAGCTCACGGGGAGCGCCAAACTTACGTAACTGGTAAGTACATATGTACGTACGTATATAAATACTAAAATAGTGTAACAAAAACAGTAAACTAACATTTCAAATGGCAAAGTTTTTCGAAAAGCTTTCAAATGATTGCCTTGAACTTCTCGATGACAGAGAGGACTTTAATGTAATAATTAAAGTCGGAGAATTGCCAAATACCAAAATATTTCAAGCACACTCTAATATTTTAAGATATAGATCTTTGTATTTTCGTAATGAATTAGCGAATATTGACAAAGGGGAAGATAACATTAAAACCATTAATTTAAAGCGTATTTCTATTCAACAATTTGAAATAATTATTAAGTATGTATTTTGATAAATCAGTAAATTAGTCCTTTGTTTAAATATCTAAACCTATGTATTATGAGTAGGTTTTCATATTTTAAATTTTTAGGATTTAAATAAAGGATTAATCTTACGAATATATTAAGATGATTATTTAGTATTATAACATGAATTTGCTAAAACTAGTTCTGAATTATTAAATTTACAAACTTAATAAAGGTATATTTATGGTGGGGTGGTTTTGTTAGAAAAAGATCAAGGTGCATCATTTATTTTTGATCTCATCTTTGTTGCTTCCGAGTTTCTTCTTGATGAATTAGCAAAACACCTTGAAGCACAATTAATTGAAGAACATGCACACTGGCTTCGTTTAAATTTTGCTCGCGTTTATCATAAAATTTTCCAAAATGAAAAACTTCAAGAATTACAAAAATGGTGCAATGATATTATTGCAAAGTATCCTGTTAGGGTTTTTGAATCAGAAGATTTCACTTCTCTTCCGAAAAATGCACTAATTTCACTTATTAAGCGAGATGATTTACAGATGGATGAAGGGAAAATTTGGGAACATGTTATCAGATGGGGAATTGCTCAAAACGTGGATTTACCATCCAATCCTAAAGATTGGTCTCATGAAAATTTTCTAACCCTAAAGACAACTTTACAGAATTGTTTACCTTTTATCCGTTATTTCCAAATATCAAATGATGATATTTTTGATAAAGTAAAACCATATAAAAATATTCTTGAAGAAGATCTTTGGGATGATATTTTCAAAAAACTTGTTACTCCAAATAGAGAAATATTATCAACAATTCTTCCTCCCCGTAAGATTTTAACATCAACATTACCATCTAGAGGAACCGAGCCATTTCCTTCAAATGTTATCAATGAAAATCATGCGGCAGAAATTGCGTCATGGATTGATAAGAAAACTGAAGTGTATTCTGTAATGAATAATCCATATAAGTATAACCTGCTTCTTCGTGGATCAAGAGATGGTTTTACCGCACAATCATTTTGGAATTTATGTAACAAGCAAACAAACACTGTTGTAGTAATAAAGGTTAAAGGAAACAATGAAATTCTTGGTGGATACAACCCAACCCAATGGGATAACACAGAACCAGGTGGTAAATATATGAGCTGCAATGATGGCTTTATTTTTTCATTGAAAAATGGTATTATCCAATCCTCTATTTTAAGTCGAGTAAAACCTTCGAAATCAAATTATGCAATTTTATGCAATTCTAAATTTGGACCAATTTTTGGTTGTTATCCTCATGAACTTATTATGGGTAAAAATAATTTTGATCAAAATTATGGATGTTGTGGCACACATAATTCATATGAAAAAGCAATTAGAAACAATGATGGTTACTTTTGTGCAGAGGAATATGAAGTATTTCAGATTAAGAAAAAGTAGATGGCTAAAAGTAGTTTATTCAAATATGTGCAGTAAACAATGTATCTAATTACGATATTTTTTCTGTACATTATGAAAACATCAAGCCAATTTTAACGGGTAATTAAACAACAGAAGATTTTAATATTACTATATAATATGTTGTTGTATCTAGAAGCATTACGTAATGATATAAATTATCTAACCAATATATCTAATTATGAAAATTTTCTTGTATTTCCAATTTTAAAAAAAAGATATATCGATTTGTGTCTATGGCAGTTTATTTTTGTTAGAATTATTTTATCTTGTCAAAAACAGTGCTTATCAGTGTGTAAAATTCAATGTCTTAATATTCTCTGGGAACTTTAAAAACATAATTTATTAAAACTTTTCTCTATTGAGAGCATTAAATAAAGTTTTTTGAAATAGACAAATTTAATTTTTCTATTTGAGTACAGTAAAGATCTTTGAGAACTTTAAGGTTTTGAAAAATGTTCTTATGGGGCATAAAATTAAAATTAATTTCCACAATAGTGCTTATAAATTTTAACGAATTCTTTAATACAGCATATAAATTTTACATATTGATCAAATTCCTTCATGACAAGTGCAGCATATAAAATAATTATGCAAATGTTGTTCGTCTCATTTGTATGAGACTTCTTACTATGAAAAATAACGCTTCCAGTTCTGCTCTCGATCAAATTACCAATCTTTAAAACTAGATGTTAGGTTCGCTATTAAACGACGAGTTAGATTTTTTATCCTGTTTAAATTGGTTAGTTTGTGTCGCTAAACACCGTTTCTAAGCACATACAGTCAAATCTCTCTACAGTCCCAAGATTATAAACAATTGTACCTGTATAGATGCCAAATTTCTTATGTTTTATATAAGTTTGTTCTAAAAATTAGTGTTCTTATAAAGTGGATGTGACTATATAGAGAGTGACTGTATGGAGGGCAGAATGTACAATAAACTATGTTTCAAACTCTGTTTATGATCATCTTGCTAAACATGCTAATCCGAACATTGCTGTAGCTATTTATTAAATAAATACATGAACTATTGCTATTTATTAAGTACATAAAAAAAATATTATAATATTTATTTCATCGCATCTATTGGTAGCTATTTAGTTAATTTATCGACCTTCCACACTCAATATTTGCTTTTATAACGCCGTTTAGTTCATTCCACCCTTATAGGTGATTATGTTTAAATGTAATTTAATTATAGAGAGACCCGTATCCATTGAAAAAGAATACTGACAATGCTTGCAATATCGTTTGCCACCAGTTACAACCAGTGTTGGAAATCATATGTTCACAGTGTAAATAAATTTTGAAAAAAATCAAAGTTTTATATCTTATGTCCACATAATGTGAACATAAGAATCAAAAGTTTTAAAATTTATGTTCACATAGTGTGAACATAAATTTTTAATTTTTATAATTTCTTGATCATAATTTATTAATAGAAAGATTGTATTTATTCTAATACAAGTGCAGATAGAATGCTACCAGCTTAAAAATTCAGATAAGAACTAAATTTAAAACCAACTTAAGTTAAATGGATTTAAATAAGAAGCTTAATAAGTAGTGATTTATCAATTAAATAATTCTGTATAAATAAGAAATTCATAATCGATTAATAATTAAACACTTATTGGCTGAATTAAATAGAATAAGTGACTGTTTATTAAATCAGCACAGATAATATACCAAAAAAGAGGTGTACAGTACCCTCAGAAAGTATATCACGGTTACACGAAAAGCTTACCACAAATTTTCTAAATATGTAAATTTATTGCTTAGTAAATTAATACGAAATAAATAATGATATATATTACTACGACGCAAATTAATACTAAATATCGATATACTAATTCAGCAATATGTTACTACTACGCAAATTAATAAAATGCAATACGCAAATATGTAATAGTAATTACAATACATATATCGGATGATAACGCATTAGTATCTGCAACCATATCCTCCATTAGCAATAACTTCAGCAATACGATTTGGCATACTGTTGATTAAATTCATGAAAATCGATACATCTAGCCTTTCCCATTCTTCTAAAAGCGCTGTCTTTAATGTTTCATATGTTCTTGGGGGTGGTCTTCGTTGCTGCACTCTATCTTTTAGTATCTTCCATACGTTCTCTTTGGATTTAGGTCCGGAGATTGTGCTGGCTATGGAAGACATTGGATATTTTCAGCTCTAATCCATTCTCGAGTATATCTTGATTTATGGATAGGAGCATTATCTTCTTGTAAGATTACATCACCTTCAAGTTTTGCAATTAATTCATGTCGAAAAGGTACCAAATTTTCCGTCAATACTTCTACATATCTTTGCGAATTTATTGCACCACTACCATTCCTTTCTCTCATAAAAACCAACGGTCCTTTTTCCACACCTGCAAAACATCCCCATACCATTATACTTCTTCTTCCACTTCTAAATGTTAGTATCGAATAGTAAGATTTATATAGATCTCCATTTTGTCTCCATACGATATTTTTTCGTGAACAACCACCGATTTCAACTGATTATTCATCATTAAAAATAATCTTCTGCCAATCGTTTACGCTCCAATTGACACAGGCATTACACCAGGCAAGTTGCGCTTCAGCTTGTCTTTGAGTTAAACCTGGTTTTTTGGTGGCTATACGTCCCCATATTCCATGTTTGTGCAAGATGTTTCTTGCAGTTGCTTGCGAAATATTAATATCATTACTACTTAAGATTTCATGAAGGGGTAAGTTTCTATAATTAGATACTGCACTAATAATTCTCATTAGTTATAATTGATGGCCTTCCTGAACGTGAAACAGTTTCAATACTTCCTCACTGTCTAAGCCAGGTTAAAAAATAGGATACTGTAGTACGGTCACGGCTTATTGCTGTAGCAATAAAAGTTATAGTAGCTCCAACATTATAATTCCAATAATTTGTCCTTTTTCAAAGTCGGTTAATTGAATATTCCTTGGCATGGTTGTAATTAATAATAGCGAAGGTTGCAGTTAATAATTGCGATGAATCATTTGTTTTTTTTTTCTTTTTTATATATATTGACAAATGATTAATAATTTGATTAACTTGTACAATTTTGCGTGAATTACATAACTTAAGTATGTATGTATACTTTTTGCATAAATTTAAGCTTTTTTGTGTAACCGTGATATACTTTCTGAGGGTATCAGAACGAAATTATTGTAGACTTAGAATCCACTTAAGTAAGTTATGTATTTGATGGATTAGTAAAATTAGTCCTTTATTTAAATATCTAAACCTATGTATTATGGCAGGTTTTTTTCGTATTAAATTTTAGGGTTAAATAAATGATTAATCTTACAAATTAATTAAGATTATGTTATATAGTTTCTATAATATGAATTATTAAACTAATTTTGAAATACTAAATTTGCAATCTTAATCAGGTATATTTACGGGAAGTGGCTTTGTTAAAAAAAGATCAAGGTGTACCATTTATTTTTGAACCCACTCTTGCTGCTTCGGAGTTTTTCTTGATGAATTAGCAAAACACCTTGAAACTCAATTAATTAAAGAAAATGTACACTGGCTTCTTTTAAATTTTGCACAATTAATTAAAGAAGATGCACACTGGCTTCTTTTAATTTTGCTCGCATTTATCATAAATTTTCCAAAATGAAAAACTCCAAGAATTACAAAATGGTGCAATGATATTATCGCAAAGTATCCTGATGAAGTTTTTGAATCAGAAGACTTTACCTCTCTTCCAGAAAATGCATTAATTTCGCTCATTAAGAGAGATGATCTACAGATGGATGAAGGAAAAATATGGGAACATGTTATCAGATGGGGAATTTCTCAAAGTACAGATTTACCGTCGGATCCTAAAGACTGGTCTCGAGAAAACTTTCTACCATTAAAAACCGCTTTGCAAAATTGTTTACCTTTATCCGTTATTTTCAAATGTCAAATAATGATATTGTTGAGAAAGTTAAGCTATATACTGTAAAAATATTCTTGAAGAAAATCTTTAGGACGATATATTCATAAAATTTATTCTCCAGATAAACGGTTACGGGTTAACTTCTCGAAATCAATTTTACTGAATACCATTTCACCGAAATCATAATACTGACATCCTATTTTACTAACAAGACGTAATTACGAAAGTCTTATTTTACCGAAATATCATTTAATTGATAATAAATTTTACTGAAAAGTCACTTATCTGCAATTTTCATCTCACCGAATATTTAAAAGATGAATGTCTATTTTACTGACATGCAATTTATCCGAATGGTACATTTTTCTGACATTCTATTTCTTTAAAAACATATTACTGTGGCTCTTTTACTGAAGGATGTCTTACCGAATTTACAGCTATTTTTATAAATTCTGAGTCACCTGATAACCTGAAAAAAGGTATAAACTAATTTGCCGACAACCATTTCACTGACAGCCATTTCACCGACAAAGTTAGCCTTGTTTATGTTGAGTTGGCCTGATTTATACAATTTTGTTCAATCGAGAAGACATCTTGTTGAGAAATTTCTTTTTGAGTAATATCTTTTCGGAAAAAGAAACATCCGTTCGAGGAAATATATCAAAATATTTGTCGGTGAAAGGCTTCAGAAAAAATTTTTGTCTGGGGAACGGGAGTTCGGAGAAAGGGTTTTGTCGCTGAAAAAGTCTGTCGAATAAAATTTTTCAGAAATTCAGGTTGTCGGGGAATTGGTTGTGGCGGGAAAAAAAAATTCGGTAAAAAATTTCTATCAGTAAAATATACTGACAGAAATATGTCCTGTCGGGAAAAAGGGATATCGGAATTATGGGGTCGTGAAAACGGTATTTCGGGAAAGTGAGAATCAACGAGTTGCAGGATACTGTACTACTAAATGCTCCCTAAGTGCACATTATAGCACGGATCCAAGAGTGTGCACTTAGAGAAGTTTCACTATTCATCTAAAGTAACTATTTTGAATATATTTAAAATAGCTACTTTAGATATCTAAAGTAGCTACTTTAAATATTTGAAGCTGTCATTTTAGATATTTAAAATAGCTACTTCTGAACTTATCTAAAATTGTTACTTTAAATAGCATAACCTTAATTAACTGAAATAGCTACTTTAGATATTTAAAATAGCTACTTTATATTTTTAAAGTAGCTACTCTAAACAGATGCCTACTCCATATGCTAAATATATATACATTAAAATTAATATTACATATAAAATGCTATTTATTTTATTTGCTAAAATTATAGTTTATCCAGCAGATATAAAAGCTTGATAAAATATTAACAATAAGAATTGATGCAGATGCAATTAGTGTAAACAATGGTACAAACGTATATAGAATTACATTTTTACAATAAATTATCTATAAAAACAGATGTTATATAATTATCAATAAAAAAAATTATTAAGAATTTTGTATAAAGATTCAAAAACATACCTGAATAATAAGTTGTGGAATATCTTCAATTAGCAAATCAATCATCATACCATAGGTAATCAATTTTTCGGCTCTTTTAGACATTGGGGCAGAAAAGAAATCAAATCCAGCAAAATTTGAAGATAAAATATTTAAAGCCGAGATATCCATACTAGCAATTATTGTAGAGATTGAAACACTCTTTGCATTATTTATAAACCAATCAAGAAATTTCGCGTTATTGCGCAATTCATTTATGACTACGAAAAATGATAAACCAAGATTGAATGATAGTGATACTATTAGAATAACCAGGCTGTTTAATAATAATTAAAGATTAAGTAAGAATAATGATAAATCCAATCTTAAAAACAAATAATTAGCATAAAATTAAAATTTGACATGCCTAGGAATGAATAAAAATGAAATATCATGTCCATTTTCGATTATAAAAAGACAATCAAGAAACAAATCCAAAATCATTAAAGATAATTTAATAATGATGAAATTATTGCCCTATGAAATAACAAAGTGCAAAAGTTGAAGATTGTCAGATATAAAAAGATGAATTATAAAAATAGAACCTACCTTTGGGTAACGCCATCGAGCCAAAAGATAGATCACAAACAACACAAATGCAATAATTACAAGAGCCAACAACTTATATTTGACTTCATTCAATAAATTTGCTGCAAAATTTCGGTAAAAAAAAAAAAAAAAAAAAAATTAGAAAAATAAAATCAGGTACATGCTACGTAAAATGAATCATGATAATTGCATACGCTTGACTTGAAATCCATATTGCTCATCAAGAAATATCATAAATTTTTTATCAGAAAGTGAGCTAATATATTTGTTCTTTATAATGATATTTAAATCTTTCACAATATCATTTACACTTGGTTCATTCAAGGGATCGGTTGCTTTATTAATTGAAAATTCAATCAAAAGTTTAGAAAAATCCGAGGGGTCTGATTGAACATTATGCGTTATTTTCAATTGATCATTCAATAGAGGAATGCTTTCTTTAATTTGTTGCAGCAAATCGTCAAGCAGTTGAGATTGATTATGACTCAAAAAATAAGAAGAACCATCAGAATTTAAACGTAAAAGAGCTTCTGTTGAATCTTTAAATAAAAATTATTTCAAAGAAAATGTAAGCATGAATAAGAAAAACAAAATGATAAATAATAAAATTTAATATACCAGATATCACAGAATTATACGCTTGAATTAAATAAGCATGAAAACATAAGTTAATTAATAACTAAAAATAATAACAAAAGATAATAGTGAATACGTAATAACTTACATGCTGAAGTCATCACATTCCAAACACCTATCTTAATTCCACGAAGAGGTTCATTAAATAGCGAAGTAACAAAAGTATCATTAACAATAATTGTATAATTGCTATTAATTCGATTAAATGTACTAGGTAAAGTTTGACAAGACAAAATTGTGGAATTATACACTGAGCAATGAGAAGAAGCAGGGTAAATTTGACGTAATAAAAAGATTTCTTGATCAATTATTTGGTAAACAGAGATATTTCCTGATGATGGAACAATTGAAGAAAAAAGAGAGATATTGATATTATAATCAAATAATACAGGTATCGTCATATCTAGTTCAGGATAAGTTGATAATATTGCAGCATTTTGATAACCGACTAAGAGCAAGAGAAAGAAAGAGAGATCAACAATTACAGTATGTCAAAAATTAAAATGTAAAAATTTGTACACATACAATCAGCATAAATCCGATCCACATCTATCGCAACTAGTTTCCGATTATATGAAGTATTTCCGTATACAAACCATAAGGTATTATTATCAAAAACGCCATAAGATTCTAAATAATCATAATCAGCATAAAATATTTGACGAGGGTTACTTAAAATATCTAAACTTGTATATATTTGTAATGATGGATGAATATTATCATCATTATCTGTTGTTGATGATGTTGATGATTTATTGAAGGTAATTGAACCACCATATGGTAGTGGAATGGTAAGCTTAATATTAAGAAAATAAGTATCGTTTTGAACAAAATTTGCTTTTGAAATAATATCTTTATCGATTATCGATCCAGACCAAAACTAATACTGTAATACGATTGATAAGTGTATTTTTCAATTTACCGCAGTATTTCTCGTACAGAATCTCTA